AAGTTCAAAATACCTGGTTTTCTTTTTTTCGATGCCACATTTTTTAACTGAGTTGATAAGACATACTAAGCCCCCTTTTCAAAGTGCTTGTGTAAAGTGTGTCTTTGGGGTTGAAAGTTGGTGAATCATCTGCGGGAGCAACAGAAAGGAAGGCAAGGCAGTCATTGCAGAAGTTGGTTGTGCTCAGTGATGGAAGGAAACGTCAATTTTGGTTCTTACTTTTCCAGTCTTAAATTCAGTTTTCCACATTTTGCAGAAATTTATAAAATTTATTTCATATGCAGTTTCGACTATTGCACACATTTCTGTGAGCGGTTTTCCATAATATAATGCATTTCTGCTTAGTTACACCAATAACTTCATTTTTTTGGACACTTTCTCTTAATACATGTAGTTTTCTCAACTCAATTCAGTTGGAGAACTGCATTGCAATGCTCAGAGAAGTGTGATTTCTGAAGGCTATGTTATGGTTAGTGTATTGTTTTGAAAAGTGTGGAATTGATAGAATCAGCATTAAATGTATATTAAATTGTATTTCTCCTCCATCCCTAGCTGTGCCATAAATAGGGAGGGAGGAGAAATTGAATTTCATACACATTTAAAGGCAAATGTAACTAATTGGCACTTTCCAAAACAATATATGAACCATAAGGCAGCCATCCTTTGAAATTTGCAGTTTTGAATCTTGCAACACAGTTGTCCAGCCAGCCAAGTAATGTGTACCAAAAATGCACATAATAAGGTAAGGTGTGCATTAAAATGCATATATTAGTGAAGACAGCATACAAAAATATATTAGAGGAAATTAGACTTTACAAAAAAAAATCTAGTGGGTTAAATTGCCTGCAGAAAGGTGTTAATGCGTGGTAAATTGCTGATGAATTTTCATGAGGATCCTTAAAAGCAAATTCACAAACTGTTGTGGAAATATGGATAACTGAATTTAAGTCTAGAAAAGTGAGAAACAGAAACTGAAATTGACAGACTCACCCATGCCTTGCTGTGAATGCATTTATTCAGAAGGAAGTCCCCTGGGGTTTAGTGGGGCTTAATGATATAGAAAAGGGGGGAAATAGGGGAGCAAAGCTTCAGGACTTTTTGGGAAGCAGTAGCAGCCATACCTAATGAAAATCTTTCTTCCACTACTGCCCACAAGCTGGTAATCACCACTGAAAGGAAGCCCTTTGGCACTGGCCAGTATGTGCCAACAACAGATAGAAGTCTCCACACTGGAGAGCCAGTGTGGTGTAGTGGTTAAGAGCAGTGGACTCGTAATCTGGTGAACCGTGTTCGATTCCCTGCTCCTCCACATGCAGCTGCTGGGCTAGTCACACTTCTTTGAAGTCTCTCAGCCTCACTCACCTCACAGAGTGTTTGTTGTGGGGGAGGAAGGGAAAGGAGATTGTTAGCCACTTTGAGACTCCTTAGGGTAGTGATAAAGCAGGATATCAAATCCAAACTCTTCTTCTTCATCATCATTTGAATTCAGAGAACCAGATTCTTTGAGTGGTTTGATATACCCATTGATACAATAGAATGTTATTTTCCCAGGGTTATTGTTTTGAATTCTGTGCACAGCTGACTGTGCCTCATTTAGATCTTCCAATATAAACACAATATTTGGATTGCTTTCAAAGTAATAATGCCCCAAAGCTAAATTTAATATAGAAAACAGTGTTGTGTGCAAGTCAGTGCAAGGAGCTAGAAAATGTTTATTGCTTGGCGGAACGGCCGGAGGTTGCCAGATCAATGTTCCCCCCTATTCTGCTGGGTCAGTAGTAGTCTGTTGAGTGTCATTTTTAAGCTCTGTCATGCAAGGAGCACATTGCAGCATTCATCCTTTTATGAGTGACACAGTGCCTGTGAGGAATGATGATCCTCATACAAACGAATTTAATGGGCAGGGATTAAAGCTCTTTGAATGGAAATGGAAAACTGAGTAAGAGCATTTAGAACGGTGTTTGCAAATGCTTGCAGGGGTGTTCAGGGCCTATCAAAGCATCAGGGAAGTGCAGATCTAGAGTTTACAAGGCAGAGATTAATTCCAGAGAACGCTGCTAGACAATAAGTTTTTATAAGTGATGGTCAATAGACTGAAGCTGAATCCTGCTAAGGCAAAGACACTATACGTGGTTCCCAAGTCGTCGCATTAGGAAGAGTGCTTGCATTAGTATGAGCCTTATAACAACTACTTTGTAAGAATGTCAGCGCTGAACAGAGGTTGTTGGACGTTGTGCCAGAAATGGGTCTACAGAAGTACTGGAAACATCTAGAACTAACCGTTTCAGCAGAAAGTAATACATGCTTTGTACACTCCCCTGCTATATGTCAGGCTTCACTTTGTGCACACTGCTTTGGGTACTTCTATAATACTGGGTACTTCCCAGAATTATAGAAGCAATTCTGCTTCTGATTGGATCCCGGGATGTCCTGCTTTGGCTCCCATGAGATTGTGTTCTCCCACAAGTCACATGACTTCTGTGGGAGCATGGCCCCAAAAGATGTGCATCCCGATTTTCCTCTTTGGCATGTTGAAGGGTGTGTAGGTGCTGTATTTCTCATGGGAAAATGAATGAAAAATGAAGACAGAGAAAAGAAAGGTGAATGAAACTGACTGTTCTAGTTATCTGCTAAATGCCGGAGAACCCAGTCACCAACCCCACTTCACTAACTCATATTACTGCATTCCTTTTGCAAATATTTTCTGGGCAGAATGCTTTACCCCCCTTAGTTACAGAACCAGGCTGGTATTGGCCTTTTGTAATTGTAATATAAGGTTTATAACTGTAGTGGTCTCTAGTCTGCGGAGCTTATGCCACAATGACTGCTCTCCACATCAAAGGGAGGGTGCCCTTTGCGTGCATGGGTGCAGCACCTCCAATCCTACATGACTCTCGGCAGAGCACTCATGAACCACCTCCCCAAGTCACAAACCTTGAGGTTCCCGCCAAACCTCAGTTCAAAGAACCAATCACGACTGGGGAGGCATAAAAGGGGGTGGAGCCAACCTGGGAGCCAGTGTGGTGTAGTGGTTAAGAGTGGTAGTCTCGTAATCTGGTGAACCAGGTTCATGTCTCCGCTCCTCCACATGCAGCTGCTGGGTGACCTTGGGCTAGTCACACTTCTCTGAAGTCTCTCAGCCCCACTCACCTCACAGAGTGTTTGTTGTGGGGGAGGAAGGGAAAGGAGAATGTTAGCCGCTTTGAGACTCCTCAGGGTAGTGATGAAGCGGGATATCAAATCCAAACTCCTCCCCCTCCTCCTCCTCCTCTTCTTCTTCTTCTTCTTCTTCTTCTTCTTCTTCTTCTTCTGGGAGCTCTCAGTTGGCTCCAGAGCTTCACGCTCCCTACCCTCCCTTCGTTTATGCCTTTTATAGCAGGTTAAATTCTTCTTTACAGGTATGCGGGTGCTGCTATGGTCTTACAATGGTTGCTGTTAAAGGACTGGGAAGGAATTTCCCTGCATTGGCAGGTTTCACCTTCCCCGTAGCAAAATGTCACAACTTTGGCACTTATAGGTCTTGGGCAGAATCCTTTAGTCTACCTTCCTTAAATGGGGGTGGGGGCAGGGCGTGAAGCAGTGACACATGCCCCCCCCCGCAGCAGTGATCCCAGGGTTCCTCATTAAAGGGGTTGTGTTGAGGGGAGTCACTGGCCATACACTGAAAGGTTGTCAGTGCACTCCCCTGTGTTGCAGTGAAATGGGGGGCGGGATCTCTGCTTAAACATACGTCTTCCAGAACCAGCCCAATCCCCAGACAGATTAGTTAACCCTGATCTGCCCCGGATCCCCGACTGGGGACTGGGAGGGATAAACGCCCAATGCCTAAGCCAAGGTCTTCCTACATCTGAAAGTTTAATGAAGTTGTGGCCAATTTTAATCCCAGAACACATTGTCACAAGTCATTATTCCATTCGGGTGTCACCTGGGGTCGGGGGATCTCCGCCTGGGCACGCAATACATTTGTCATTCACAAGGTGCTAGAGGGTTCTGTTGCTTTGCAGCAGGAAGCTCACAGAGCTATCTTTTGGGATGTATTCTTTGCCAAATAACTTTCAAATATATTTATATATCCAACCTATTCCATTGACATAGGCTTGGATCCTGAGGTGCCCCTCCTTCATCCAGCAGAGGTTCCTACCAGGAGAAGGAACGGAAGGGCATTTTCTCCAATTCCTAATTTCCCCTGCATCCTCCAATGCCACCTCCACACTCGCCCATGGGTCAGTCATCTTTTTCTCCACACATTCGTCCAGGAAGGGACTGTATGTTGTGATGTATAGGCAGTACATAGATGAGGTATTGGCACCTGTAAACTGAAGAATGAGAAAGGCAGTCCTCAAACCACCACATAAGTACGCTACGAGGCCGAGGCTGTTTAGGGCTTTAAAGGTCAGCACCAACACTTTGAATTCTGCTTGGAAACATACTGGGAGCCAGTGTAGGTCTTTCAAGACCGGTGTTATGTGGAACAAGCTGAGATCTTCCACATCCCTACATCGTGGAGGTGGAATTTTCCACTCGTGGGAACTTAGGGTGCAAACCACAGCTTTAGTTTGCTCTCTCCTTTGTTCATTATGTATTTCAAAAGAACACATTCTGTACTTCTAAAGTATCTACACCAAGTATTGAAGATGTGCGTGCTTGACACAACTCTGCCAGTTCATACATTATTGAAAACAACAGCTATTCAATAACTCAGTTGCCAGTAGCTTGCTTTTTGCCTGGCCTGATTAACCCTTTCTTCTATTAAACAAGGGCTTACCCACCAGTCCACAAAGTGATAGACAAAGATAGAAGCATTAGTGCCAGAGACAACTGTGATTAAAGAAGTAGAAGATGAAAGGCCTTTCTTGATGCAAGAGAAGAAGAGTGGAAGTGCCCCTTATTATGCCTGCTGAGAATGCCAGGAGGAAAGGAATAGGAGAATCGTAGAATTTCAGACTGGAAAGGGACCATGAGGATCATCTAGTTCAACCCCCTGCAATGCAGGAATCTCTTGCTCAACATGGGGCTCAAACACAGGACCCTCAGATTAAGAGTCTCATGCTCTACTGACTGAGCTATAGCTGATATCAGCCATTTTCTAAAGCAACAGATGAAGTGGTAAAGCTGTTTGGTCATTGTACAATTTCAGTTTGTAGGTGTGGGATCCCATGACTGAATGCCCATTCATATCAAAAAGAAAAGAAAGATAGCGTTGCTAGAATCCTATTCTCTTGGATATGCTAGTTTCAAATGTACAGGATTTCTCCCCAAGAGATTATTCATCCCCATGTGCTCACTGTTCAACCAGCTGATTGACCTAGGGATGGCTGACTCTCCTAAGATCTGGCTTGGACTTTTCCCGAGTTCCCCACCCACCACCACCAAAAGAAAAAAATCGAAAAACCCAAAAAAGTAACTGAATGCTAGGAAGGTGAATGTTGACCTCCCCTTTGCCCCATAATATCCTATAGCCCCCAAATCTATCCCTGCTATGACCAACAACTAAACATGCTCCCTCTTTTCCTTCTCTTTCCTTCCTTCCCCTTCCCCTTTATTTTCTTAGAAGTACCCACAAGATTAGAGTGGCCAAAGGGATTCCCCGCTCCTTTCGTCTCTTTCCCTCTCTCCTTTCCATCACCATCCAAAGTAATACTAGATGCGAGTACACTCTGGCTACTCAGGACCTTGTGAACAACTTGCAGATCCCAGCATGGACTAGAGCAGGATCTAGCATCACGCCTTCCTCCAAGTTGTCCTCCTTGTCCTCCAGTTTTAAATCACCCTACTATAATAACCTCTGTCTTGTCTGGATTAAGTACCACTACCTTCCCATATCTAACCTGTAACCATCTTCAAACATCCTAGGTCGAAACCGCTGTTCCTGAGGTGGGTCCACGTAAAAAATAGGGCTGATACCGCATTCCTTAATGCCAAACGATCTCTCTCGGCTATTAAATATAGATAGTTAAAATGCACTGGAGAGAAGAAAGACTCTTGCCGTACCTCAAAGTTCATTCAGCCATCCACTTTGGCATCAAGGAGTCAAGTAAAAATAGGATCGCTCCCACTCTGTCCCTCCAATACCCATTGATCTCAGGTGACAGAGAAGAATTTGTTGGTCTTTGCTGCTAAATGTCTTCAAGAGGTGTAGAAGAATGAGTGGCAGTTCACTCTCTCTTTCCTAGATGAAGATTGCCGAGCAGGCAATCAAGATGGTTTCAGTCCCAAAACCTTCCCTAAATTCTGATTAGCATGTGTCCATAGCTTCCGTCTCACCCAAGAATACCTGAAGCTGCCACATCACTGGCCTCTCTGGGTTGGTTGGTTTGTTTGTTTTTGACCCCAGAAGGAAGATGTTAAATTACCATGTTTTATTTAAGTCAGTAGGTCACACGAGAGCTATTTTTAAAAGAGAAATGGTTGGATCACAGCTTCCTTTAAATTACCAGCAAGTGCCCCTTCCTCCAGTGACTTATTTACCCAGGCTGTTAACAACAAATTCAACTTAGCCTGAGTTGTTTTAACAAGCAGCCATGGCATTGTTAAAACAACTCAGCCTAAGTTGAATTGCTGTTAACAGCCATGGTAAATATCCATCACTAAAAGAAGGAGACTTTCCAAGGCAAGGATAGAGGCAGCAAGGGGTGGGTTTCAAATATTCAAGGATTTTGTCCACATAGCCCCCAGCAACAATTTAAATGTATCCTGAGGACACTAAACAGAACAAGCAAACATTTTGGAATCCTTTATTGATCTGCAAAAAGTGAGGAATCCATGTTGAAATGGCTGCAAGATTTTATCTGCAAAATGTTTAGCAACTTAGTCATGGGGGTGGGTCATGGGGGACATAAATTTCTGAAACTGGGGTGAAACTACCCTTTCACATTAACAAAATAAAACCTTTCCTAGATAGCATCCAGCAGATATTATCTAGGGGAGGAAACAATGGATTCTTCGTTCCCCTCATTATGTTTAAAATGAATGCAAAACAGCATTTGTTTAAACTATTTTGGACAGATTCGGTCTTATTTTCTCTCCATCAGCAATCAAGCTTTTTCTGCTTGGCATCTTCCTATTCCATAGCTGTGGCATAAAACAAGGAGAAACCTGGGCGTGCTGCCTGAGGAAAGAGTGCTTAAGTGAGATTAGCCTGGACAGTTTGGACATTCTATTAACCACCAAGTTATTCCTCTGAAGTAACACAGGAGTGGACTTCCATGAAGCTGTGCTCACCCCATCATTTCCTGACTAGAACTGTGAACAAACGGCATCTCAAAAATATCCACCCCATTTGTCAGCAGAGAAACTGGGGAGACCATTTCTCTGAATTTCTCCTCGGTGTGCAGAGAAGAATTTTTCCAAAAGTTTCTGAGAGCTGGGGCTCACCATTAGCAATGGTAGTAGAATAGCTTCTTTCGTTATTCTCAAGGGCTTCCTGCTCCTCTGACCAGAAATGACAGTGGCAGCAGCAAACGGCACAGCACCCTAACTGCCATTTTGTATCTTTCACAATCCCTTGGATTTAGCACTATGTGGCAGGGGGGAAGGGGGTAAGATGGCAGCCACCACACATAAAGCAGTGGAGGATATTAAGATAAGTAGTCTCCTTTTTTTCCCCTAAGGGGAAGGAAAAAAGAACAAATGTTTTCTAAGAAATGTTGGCTCAGCTCCTGCCCCAACAAAGCCAGAGAAGAATTGCTTGATGTTCTTGAGTGCGGTGAAAATGTGATTCCCCTGAGGTAGAAGATGTCTGGGGTCCTTGCACATTTAGCTTGGTAAAATAGCAGCTAACACCAAGAAAGGTCCTCAATTAATTTCCTTCTAACTGAAATTTACGGGCCTCCTCTTCTAAGCCTCGGGTTGAGACTAGATTTGAGTGTATATAGCTGAACTTTAAAGGAAAATCCCCCTTCAATCACCCTTTAAGATGGTGGTTATTAAGATCCAGCTGCTATGTAGTGAGAATGCATCATCGCTGCTGCTATTGCTGCTTTGTTTTTTTACACGAATCACCTTGAACAACGAATAACAGTTGTTATGATAATGCCACAGACACAGCGGCATGAGCCAAAGGGCAACACAGGAAAATAACAATGTAACAGTGAATATAAAGTGACATCCTTGATGCCCGCACAAAGATTTTGTTTTCGTCTTGCTACGTCTTGTACAGAAGTTTTAAGGGCAACGTTCTCCTCCTCCTCCAAGATGTTCGAGGTGCAAATACGAGACAGCTGTGAAATCAGCTGGACCACTTGGGTAACCCAGAGATAGTCATATGCTCGAAGCCCACAGCCGAGCCAAGCTATAGATAAAACAACACCTTCCTCCACAAGCAGTCTCCTTGATGTCAGCAAAATTACTCATAGAAGAATTCTCTGGCTCGTTGTTATGAGCTGGAGGAATATAAAAAAATCTGTTCCAAGGCTGAGGTAAGGTGAGGGCATAACAGGAGCAACAAAGGTATAGCATGGCTTCTGAATGCAAAATTCACATCTTTAGATAAGCATCATTGTTCACAGAGCAACGTGTCATTATAATTTGTACTGTGAGAAACAGGAAAAGTATGAATGCAAATGGTTTCATTTATAAAACAGACATGAGCCTTCTTCAGGCTTTCAGAGCAAATCTGGGGTTAAAGAGGAAATGTACAAGATTAAAGAGTAAAGGGGTTGGGGAGCACATCCCTGCCACAACCTTTCTATGTACGCAACTGGGGCATAAGGGACACAACTGGACACAGTCCCATTTTTTCTCCCAGGCACCGTATGCATTGCAATGCCACTGCTTGCTATTCATACCACTGGACAAAGCTTGACAAAAAAATATCCTGGGCGAGGGAAGAACCTCACCATTACTACTCACGTACAAAATGAACCCATAGTTTGCATTTCTGAGCTGGGGGGAAAATACAAAAATAGATTCCCATATCTGGTACACTGCTATACAGTACATGCAATACATATGTACTCTGGATGTAAACCCAAGTGAGACGATGCACAATTTCTTTAATTACTTAATGCAAGTCAGCGTATGATCTGAGTTTCAAAATTGCGCCTTAATACTGTGATGCTAAGAATGGATGCACATTTTCATTCAACAGAACAGTTTGGAAAATTGGCAAACCCTCTCTCAAAGAAAACAAAGCCTCACATCAGGCAGAACTGAAGCAATTTAGTTGTTTATTTATGTTGATCTGACTCCGTTAGAATCATAAAATTATCATGCATGGGGTTGCCAACTATTTGAGAACATGCAGTTGCTATTCTGTTTTCTGCTAATAAGTTAACGAATCAATAATTGCTTAAATTGAACAATAGTTACAAAAAACTTAATACAGTTTTTTTGGGAGATACGGAAGCAAGTGGAATATAATTGATTAAAACAGCCCTGTCTAACTTGTCACCCAACAACCAGGAATAAGCACCTAGCAAGACATTGACAACCCCTTCATTTTTGAAGTCACAAGTACACATAAAACTGCCTTATACTGAAACAGACTACAGCCCCAGATGGGCAACAAGCAACAGTCATTATACTGAACCCATAAAATCTAACATGCATTACTGATAGACTGTGTTCAGCCTGATGGGTCACGGGTTGTTCAAGCTTACGAAAAAATAAAGTCTAAAATTAGAATATGACCCCACCCATTAAAACTGGCTGATTAATCTTCCAAATAAACTGATTAAAATATACGTATAGTTAAGCAGTTCTTTAAAAAAAATCATGCAAGCAATATCTGTGCTTCTTAATAATATTTGATTTTTCCTGTGCTACAGTTGGTCCCAAACCAGACTATGTCTTATACTGATATTCATAGACTAGTAAATTGTTCAATAGGAACAAAACAGGAAATGCTTAATTGCCCACGTATTTCGAAGACACAGTTCCAATACTGAGGTCAGTGCGGTATAGTGGTTTGATAGCTAGACTAGTGGTTAGAGTGTTGGAGACCAGAGTTCAGTGGATGAGCTTGGGCCAGTCACTATTCTTCAGTGAAGAAGGGGGAGAACTGGGTATGCCACCTTGAGTTCTTTTGACAAAAAGATGGGCTACAAATACAATAAATAAATATTACCCCA